CTCATCAAAAGTGGCCAATCCTGTGTCGCTGCCAACAGACGCCTGACAGCAACCGAGCACACCAACGATTCAGCGTTCACAAGCACGGCCCCGCCACCGATGGCTGTGGCCCCGTTAGTGGTACCACAGTGGACAGGTGACGGCCGAGTTGGTAAATCATACTCACCCATCCGTTACGTTACCAAAAGCGCGCATTTTGCTGCTCGTACCGTTTGCTATTGGGTGTAGTTCTCACGCTTCTTTGTCATCACTACAGTTTTCCCACTGTTGTTATTAGCCAGAGAAAACCCGAAAACTAAGTTGTTTCGTGTCTGCCACCATTGAAACCACGACACCGTTTCTTGATCGTTGGTGCCACCTTCCTAGAGGAATTGCTTCACATTTGACACCAAGCACCAGCTTTAATCGAAACATCTAGACAACGTTTTCTCGCCACTGTCAATTACACACTCTTCATGAAATTTCTTGATTTGCTTCAGCGTTGTGTATCATAAATATCAATTCTTTACTGGTGCTTACTTTTACCAAGAAAAATGATCCTATGTGCTATTAAATCAGGTGGCGGGTAGGATTGGCAAGTCGAGCTTAGTTAAAGTTTACGTAAGCCTTACATTCGTTTGTCTGGCTGATTCTAAGACTTTGCTAAGGATTATTTTCGTACCTAAGGGAACTTCAAGGTATCTGATGCACACTACCAGCAGCTCACTTCACAAAGATTTCCGAGCCTCACACCAAGCCTTCGCACCGCTTCGACTCCCGACAGCCTGCCACCATGCCCAAGTAACGTTCTCCGATCTGGGAGCTGTTTGTGGAAACACAGCGCCGCGAAAAAGGTGTTCGAGCCCATCCTGTGGCGGAGTGCAAGGCCTGTCACGCAGAACTGAAGAACGCGATGCCTTCTGAAAATATGCTTCGTCATGTCATCAATTGTACAGAGCAAGGAAGCGAGGAAAACGCTCGATGGAAGCGTCATTACGACAACCTTCAGCAGCAGAAAGCAAAGCAGCTGCTGGAACCATCGCAGCAGGCAGCGGACGAGCAGTCGTATGCGTCGCTGCATCTTCGCAGCCCCTCCACGGTCAACAAGAGACTGTTTGGCAGCCCTGAATACGCTAGGCACTCTGCGCGTAAGTCTCCGCGACTTGCTGCTGCTAGACGTGCCGCACGGAAGAATGTTGTTGACGAAAAGAAACTTCGCGTAGCGATGGCATTATATGCCACTGGAATTCCGTTTCGTGTTGTGGAAGACCCTTTTTTTCGTGCCATGTTCGATTATGAACTTCCATCGCGCCGGCAACTAGCAGGCTCCCTGCTTGATCGTACTTATGAACGTGAAAAACAGCTCGCTATTGAAGCATTGAAAGGAAAGGGCAATTTGGCCCTAGTAACTGATGGATGGTCTAACACGAGTGGTGACAGCATTATCAATTTCATGTTTGTCAATTCTCGATGTCCTGCTGTATTTTGGAAGTCGGTGTGTACTGCTGCTGAGGAGCACAGTGGAGAGAATATTGCGAACGCAATACTTTCTACAGTTATTGAACTGGAGTCATTCATTGGAGAGGGGGCAGTGTCTGCTGTAGTAACAGACAACGCACAAAAAATGAAAAAAGCATGGGAGCTGGTGACTAAAGAGCGCAATGCTATTGTTTGCTCGGGTTGCGGAGCACACGCAATGAACTTGTTGATCAAAGATATGATGAAGTTGGAGTATTTTAGCAAGGTGCTCAGCAACGCGAAAACCCTGACGAGATTTTTTAAGGTGCGACTGGGCTTGTGGTCGATGTTTAAAGAGCGGCAATCCTCGGACGCGGAGGGCTGGAGAACAACGACGTCGACTTTCTGTGCCAGTGGATACGCGGTGGTATACGCAC